GAATCGCTTTGGTGTTTGTTGCACTGCTTAAAGGCGAGAATGAGAGTCCAGAGATCTTCAAGAATTTCAGGTAATAACGAGCATCCATAATTTTATTCTTCTTATTTTTTCCTCTATTCTTAGTGAATGATGGTATTGTTGTAGTGTTGTTAATAGAAATTGTTTGTGTTGGTATCTCGGACGGTTGAGGCTAGAGGAGACGGGGATGAAGAGAATTCAGGGATGTTGAGTTGTGGGTTGGCCTGCTGCGTGAACAAGGAGGAAAGGGAAGCGAAGATGTATGGTTAGCAGCTGGAGGGAAACAAACAAAAGTGATAGAATGGATGAAGGAGAAGCTTGGTATGAACAATTTGGAGAGTCGAAGGTTACAGTTATTTGGAATCAACAAACAACAATATGAATGAAAGAAAGGTTTTGGAGTGTATTTGAGGGAATATGATGTAGCTTCCCCCTCTTTTCCATTCAGGGCTGCTCCGTTTTTATCTTCAACAATAGTGGGTTTAGGGGGGGGGGGGTTGATAATTTTTTGAACAAAAATGATATACTATTTTTATGCTTTTGGATGAAGGTTCTCTGTTTTGCTTATTTGATGCAATATTTGTGCAAATTTTGGACGGGTACAACTTTGGCATCATAACATAGCAGGTGTAGCAGGGCAATTTGCAGCAAGGTAGCAAGACAGTTTTGACAGTTTTATGGGTTGATTTATGCAGGCTAGGTGATATCTCTTTCATCTTTCTTTTTTCATCTTTCAATGAAATAAAGCATTTTGCTTTTTATACAATTTCCTGAAAGATTTGCACTCTTTTTTGGAAAATGATGACATAAGGGCCAGGAATCAATGTTAGCTTGTATTGTTTTGAATTGTTGTTGTGCTATTTTGACAGCCTTGGCAATTTTGCTTGCTTATATTTGTTTTTGTTGGTTGCTGTTTGGCAGCCTAGCCTGTTGTTTTGTTGTTAATTGCTTTGTCTTGCAGCTTAGATGCTGCACTAGCCGGTTGTTTTTATAATGCTTTGTTGTTTTTTTGTGATGCTGCCTTTGCTATGTTGTTGCTACTATGTTGTTGCTGCCATGTTGCAGGTTTGCCCTGCTGTTCTGTTTGTTGCAGATTTGTTGGCTTGTGCGTTTGGCATCACTTGGGCAGCTTGCTTGCTATGTTGCTGTGTTTGACCATGCTTAATAGAAAATATTTGCAAATTTCTCTTCCCCTTTTGTGAATCAAAAAGGTCAAACTTTTTATGATTTGCAAAAGTAGGAGGAGGTGTCTTATGATTGAAAATAAAACCTTTGAAAATTTTGATTCCAAAGTGTGAATCCTAATGATGAAATTTCTATTTTAACAAATAATTTTTGTTTGGAATCTTTTCTCATGTTGATCATTGCTACCTCCTTCTTTTTCTTTTGTTACATGTACGAGCAATTGAATGGCGAGCGAGGCAAGGTGAAGAGAAAACCACGACTAGCAATGAGGAGTTTCTTGAAGATGAAGCAAACTTGAAAAACAAACATTTATTTCTTTCTTTGTAAACAACAAATGTAGCTTGTGATTCAATTTATTTTTTGCATTGTAAACCCCTTCGCAAATTGTCCAAGAATATAACCCGAACACAACATTTGAATGAAATGTATGAATGATGAATTTGTTGTAAATCTTGAATTCTTGGAAACTTGGAATAATCCTCTAGAAATTAGGGTGTACTTTTCTCAAAATTCTAAACTAATAAATCTTCTTGAATTGATATTGCAATTTAATTGACGAACCTGAATATTTGATTTTGAACCCTTGAAATGCACTATAAGTAGAAACACATAAACCTTTTTATCATGAACCAAATCTTGATGCACAAACAAAGAAACTTAAGAAACCTGATCTATATCCAATTTCAATTCAGTAATTACTAATGCTTCAAACACAAGCAACTTGTATTATAAGCAATATATAATCAATGAAACTTCAAACTCAACATCTTGTCTTTACCCTTGACTTAGTGGAGAACAAGCTCAACACAAAATCAATTCTAAGTCCCAAAATGTTCCAACGAATTTCATGGCCTTCTAAGCGCATTTGGCTATTGATCCTTGAAGCAATCTTACAGACGACAACATTTGCGATATATTGCAAAAAGAACCATCCCGATATGATTAAAATCGGAAGAGTTGCGATCTTTGAAAGTCTAGTAACAGTTACTTGAGATTAAGCCAAAGTCCACAAAGCGGCCTCTAAAGTATCCAAACTTTTGATGATCTTGTGCAAATTATTGGCTCTTGACTTGTAAAGATGAGTTAATCAGGACGTAAAAAGGAAACAAATACTCAAAGAATCACTCAGAAATATTGAATATCAAAGAAGTTATGATCTTCTGAACTTGATCTTGCAAGGGTCGACTTTTACAGTTGATTTTTAGTCATTCGAGCCATTGACTGGGCACACTCGCGATGCGGGGCTTGAAACTTGGCACAAACATCCTTGGGGACACATGAAGGACTAATAAGACCAATTGAAACTTCGAAAACTCAATTTTCTCTGAGAAATACCAAACCCTAATTGTTGATTTACTGCATAGAGAGAGAATTTGCCTGACCAACTTTTGAGCCAAATTGAGTATTCGAAAAACCCAAGAATATGAAAAACGGGAGGGCAAATTTTAGAGTACGACAATATCGAAGTGGTAATGTTCCTAGTTCCAAATGTAACTTTTATAAGTTTTGCAAAGCTCTGTTGGTTTATCTCGGCTAGTTTCAGTTGGTTATGAATGTTTCCTTTTCTAGAGCGTTACTCGTGTTCTTTTGTAAGCGGGTTCGAGTATCTATAATTCCCGTTCTTATTAAATTCCTTTCTTATAAAAAAACATTAAATACTCAATTCTTCTCGTAACTCATGGAATCAATTGAACTTCTTCTTCACTCAACTCTTATAGACACTTTTTCAATTGATAGAATATCTTTGCAAGTAAGTGTTTTACAAGAAAATTTACTATTTTACTTTTCAATTATCACGTTTTTCATCTGAACCATTAAAGTTTTTAACATCTTATTTTTTTGCCGGTCATATGCTTAAATTGATCATGTGATGAACTGACAATATTGAACAGTTAAGGAGTCCATTATGTCATAATATATAACAAAGACCATGATCATTTATAATAAAAGGTTGAATTGTTACTTATGAATACTAAAATTTATTGGGTAACATTGTTCTTCAAGTAGGATATTAGGGTGATAGCAATTTTAGAGTACAAAACATTAATACAATGTCTTCTTAGAATGAATTATCACATCTTTATAGTTGATGTCTCTATCACTATAACATATTGTCGTTTGATATTACGGTAACCCCTGTTAATATTTCATTACCATAATAGTTGAGTTAAGACACCTTTTTTCCTTCCCTTGTATTGAATTAATATATTTCATCCCTTATTTATTTTTTAACTAATTATTTCTTATTCTTTGTTATATATAAAATGCAAGTTAACTTTATAACAATATTAAGAGACTATGATTATCATTTTCATCTAGGTGATAATAGAAAAAAGACCCTTACTTTATTGAACATTAAAGATACCTATAAAACAAAATTAGCATACAAATATGAGAAGTTTTGTGAATCTAATCTATTTAGATCCAAAACATTAAAGATACCTATAAAACAAAATTAGCATACAAATATGAGAAGTTTTGTGAATCTAATCTATTTAGATCCAAAGACAAAATTCGATTCAAATTTAATATTAACTCAATAAACAATAAAGTGTCGTGTTTATAAAATTATTCTTTAATTAATCATGTTTTCGATGTTATATTTTTAATCTTTAATTTTTCAATTCTGATTTCTAATTAAATTCAAATATGATATATCACGTCCTTTGTCGAAATTTACTCTTATATGTTTACGGTCAATTTATTTTTCTTTTTCAATAAAATTGATTACTATTATATTTAACTTAAACATCCAATATCTAATAACGAGTGGCAATGCGTGAACCCATACATATATACGGAAAATTATTGTTAGTATTAAAAAAATATTAATATATTATAGAATTAAATAATATGTTGTTCCATGTAAGTTAGAGTGTTTTTATTTTTAATTTATAATTTTTATTTTTTTGAAAATAGTCCCTAAATGTTAAATTTTTTTAATATTAATTTTGAAATTTAAAATCCGCAGAAAAATATGTCGATTTTCTATAAATTTTCTTATAAATTTTTCTGTAGATTTAAAATTAGCAAATTTTCCTACGAATTTTAACTTTAAGAATTAAAATTAATTTTTTTTATAACATTCATAAACTATTTAAAAAAAATTAATTAAAAATAAAAAACAAAAATACGCTAACTTACGTACACCACATACTATTTAAACCTATATTATATTTCCAACATTCATCGTTATAATTACTCTATATTTTTTATTATATGCCATTTACAAAAATAGTCTTTTTATAAAAAAGTTATGATAAATTATATTTCAAAATTATAGTATTATCTAAAAAGTGCAATTAAAAATTATATTAAAAAAAAAACTTAAATTATTTTGAAATATTTTTTTTTACAGACAAATTTATAAAACTATCTCTTTTTTGACAGCTATAAAACTATCGTGACATGTTTTTGTTTATAATTATTTTAATATATACTAATAAAATAATCTAGAGTCGTAATTATCACAGAATGGAAGGAGTAAAATTGTAATTGAAGGAGTAACTGAGGTACGTTTCAGTCCAAAGTTCCTTTATTTAAGAGAACGAGAATGCTCCATCTAAGATAGGGTTCTCATTTGAGGCATTGAGTTAGTTTCTCTTTGGTCTTTCCTTTTTCTTTTTTATCTATTTAGAGAAAGTACTACCTTATAGATCTCAAAGTCAGTTCTCTTCGTCATCAAATATTGTTATAGATCTGAAAAACAAGATCTAGTCACTAGATATTTTTTTGCAGCTTATTATCTCTTTCTACTTTTACTTATTTTGACTAGATTCAGTTTGTTTGTTGTTTGCATGAAGTTGAAAGTTTTTGGTGTTAGGGTTTTGAGGAGTGGAGCTTCTTTTAGTTCAAATATAGATGTTGCTATGTTGATAGAGCTGCTCAGCTATGGATCCCTCAATTCTACCCATTTTTTTGTGTCTTGTGGTAGTTTTGTGGCTTCCATATCTAGGGAGACTTATCATCTTTTTAGTTTCATCTTTCTTTGGATTGAAGGGAGCTCTACACCTTCACTTCTTGTATCCAATTTTTTAATAAAACAAGTATCCACTTATATTTTAATTGTAATATAATTTTTATTGATTAATTAACTCTTGTACTATATAGTATTGTTCATATAGTTTAGATCCACATTAGATCTGGGAGATCTTGGATTGTAAGGGATTTTTAATGAAATGTTTCTGAAATTATATTTTTTTATTTTTAGATCCACTTTTGATTTTTATATGGGCTATTAGTTATATTTTTATTAACTTTTAAATTCAGAATTATTCAATCTTAATCCTATCTTTAATTCTATTAATTTACTTGGCCATAAGCATAGTTTTCATCTAAAATTGTTTTTCATGCTAGATCTGGGAAATCATTGGAAGTTGAAGTAATATTTATTTCTATTTTTTTTCTTAATTGAGTTTTCTTTACCATTTGGTTGATTCATGTTCTATTACCATTTGCTGTTATTTGTTCCCTTTCAGATGGATCTGGATTTTGAAGAATTTATAACTGTGGACTGGGCAATGGTTGAGATATTTTATCATGTAATGAATCATATTATAATGTAACTGCTTACATAATTTTATTTTTGGTTGTTATTATTTATTATTATTATTATTTTATCAATTTATGAGTGTAGCCAACTTTGGCAGTTGTAAAGTTTTTGTAGTTGTGAATTTTATTATGGATTACTACTGTACTAGTATAATTTTATTCTCACGGTTTTTGATTTATTTTCAAGACCGCTTCTTGGTTAAATTAATAAATAAAGACTATTCAGTAACAGAAAATGTATTTAAAGTGGTCGGTGTTACGAGTTCCGAGAAAGTTAACATATCACTTTCAATTTATATCAGTATTATTCGTAATTATTTAGAATAACTATATATATATATATATATATATATATAAATATATATATATATATATAAAAGGTCATGCTAACATTGTCCTAATCATGTGTCCATGCTCTTAAGGATACATGTTAAGATATTTTATAAATAATCTATTAACATCTTGTGCAAGTTTTGTTTTTTGATATGATTAATACACAAACTTTAATTATTTTAGACAAAATATCCTTTTTAGTCCTTTAAGTTTACCCCAAGGTCCATTTCGGTCTTTTATCTAAAAAAAGTGTCAAACTGGTCCTATAATTCTTTCAAAAGGACCATAGGAGTCCTTTCCGCTCATTTTGGTCCTTTTTGGTTCAGCCCATCCTTCTTTATTTCAATTTGTAACTCCATTATCTTATGTTTCAGCCCATCCTTCATTTCTTTTAGATGATGTATCTCCATCTTTGCTCCATCAAACTCATTTTGCAGCTTCTCCAATGAACCAAAAAGGACCAAAATAGATGGAAAGGACTCCTATGGTCCTTTTGAAAGAATTATAGGACCAGTTTGACACTTTTTTTAGATAAAGGACCAAAATGGACCTTGGGATAAACTTAAAGGACTAAAAAGAGTATTTTGCCATTATTTTATCATCGTAAATGATCGTAGATGCGATGTTTTCTCTTTACTTGAAGTGGATTAATTCAACCACTTGTTCTTTTGTGAAATTTCTAAGAAAGTGATATCTTACATTTATGTCTTTGTAGTTACCATACATAATTGATTTTTTCATAGTTTGATTGAGTAGCCTTGTGTCCCGATAAATTACAAATGTTTTTCTTGATGGAGTATTGAACAACTTGAAGAAGGATTATTTTCTATATTATATCAAATCCCTAGACATGCATAGGAAAGTGTTGCAACAAATTTAACTTCGATTGAAAACAATTGGTTTAAAAATGACGGTCGATTATGTTCTCTTAAGATATTATATTTTTATAAAATTAATCTTATTAATATTTTGTATCTGTCGCGGTTGCGAATCTTTAGTAATTTACGTATCATCTTCTGTGTAATAGGGGATCAGGATACTTGTAGTTCATTTCAAAAATTTAAAAACACATATGTGTTGCTTAATTTTAAGAGAAGAGACACCATTTTCATATCTGAGTGAAAAACATATTTATTATCCACGATTATAAGAAATGAGAATTTGCATCATCTCAAAGTGGAGGATATAATTTGGATTTTAAAATCAACAAAGCCTCACTCAACATCCAAGTGAAAAATATCTCACTTCACTATATATCGTAGAAGTATAGTAGCTCGCATCACTACAAGAATCAATATAAGAGTCTAATCTTTTGAGAAAAATTTTAAAGCAAAAAGCCAAAGTGGCCAAAAATGGTTTGAATGAGGTTAATTGACTTTTAGTCTTGTAAAAAGATGTCAAAGTATGGTTAAATTGATTAATGTTTGATTAAGAAAATAATTTTGAAAATGCATGGACCTAAGTTCAAGTTTATTATGAAAGCGATTCAAGTTAGAAAATAAGAAGAGTTTTGAAAAGGAGGGAGAAGATTTTTGAAATTAAAGAATATATGAGGAGATGAAGGGACTATCCTAAAGCATAAGGTAAAAATTAATGAAAAGAACGATCTAACTCACAAGAAGTCAACACTTGACATAAGAAGTCAATATAAAATTCCATTCTTTTGCATTAAAACCAAGCAAACAAAGATACTAAACCTATGAGGAATACCAAGGTTCAGATGAATTAAGTCTTCATAAAAATTGGACAAAGTAACGACTGTATACAGAGAAATTATTAATCACAGACAAAACATATAATCAGAATAACCTGCAAAAAAAAAATCAACCCAATGTTTTGGAGTAAACCCTAAGAACTTCAGACAAAATAACAACAAAGCAACAAGGTCCCCAAGTATCAAGACTTCTAATCCTAAGTCCGAGAGATCCACAACTCCACAATGCCAATGATAGTAACCAATTAGTCCAAGTAACTTTAAAGCTTCTAATGTCCAAGTTGATTATTAAGTGTCTTTAAAAGAAAAGAAAGCTCAAGTGAGCAAAGATAAAATGTCATAAAGATAAATGCTCAAGTGAGCAAAAGAGAAATAACATGGAATGTAAATGCTAAAGTAAATGGTAAGTAAAAATAAAGGCACAAAATAAAGGCATAAAGTAAAGTTAATTGTTAGTGAATTAGAAGTTAGAGGTTAGTTGAAAGACCATCTTGAAGCTTGCATTTGAAAACTCATTAGAAGATTGATAAAATCAAAGCTTCTCAACAATAAGTCCATTTGCTTTTTGTCAAGTATATCATTTATTTCAAATACTCAAAATAAACTACATATGATCAACGATGTTCAAATGATTAGACCAAAGTTCATGAAGTTCATTAGAGGATTGATGGAATCAAAGTCTCCTAACGATGAACTTCAAAGTTATTGGATCCAAGGTTTCAAATTAAACATACCTAGGCTTGTAAACATAGGTTTGAGTCACTAATGATCATTTTTTGAATCAGAACAAATTTAGTGCTATGTTAAGCAATAGTAAGTGGACTTATGTAGAAATCACACCTATTTTGAGGCTGATCAATAGCAATCTAGGTACCAAACATGTTAGATAAATTATATGTAGACCACTCTCCAAAAATATGTAGCACAAGTAAAAACAAGAAAGGGATAAAAAGAAGAGAGAGAAGGATGTATCAGATGAAATTAGGGTTTCAAATATCATCAACATCATTCATCCATTTTGGTGGATTTAGTTTTTTAACCTATCAACACCCAAGATCCAATGAGATTGAGGAACTTGTCCCAAAATAACACCCAAGTGTCTCCAAATCAGGACGAATAAACAAAATAATAAAATATATTTAATATAAACAAAATTTAAATGATTTAAAAAGGAAATAATTGGTAAAATACACAACATGTATTAAAACACTAAATAAAAATCCTAAAAAAATATCAGAAATCAAACATGAGTCAATAAGTGTTACCAAAATTTTTCTAATTTTTTTAAAGTCAAACTATTTTTAAAATTTAAAGAAATAAGCAAAATAAACTAAAATTTGTGATAGGCACTGGAACTCACTACACAAAAATGAAATATACTTATCATATTATATGAAAGAGATGCTAAAATTTGCATTAAGCATGTGTATTTAAATAAATTATGTTCGACATAAAAAATGAAAAGATACTTCATAATATCGAATTATGCTTGGACAATATGTTTGAAGAAGTGAAGATATCATCCTGGAAGTGGTTCAGTATCAAAAGTAAAGGCACATGCTATATATCATCTCTGTGGTGTTCGAACTCTAGAGCATGCCTTGGTTTGCATGGTGGTTAATACGATAAAATCGAGGATATAATCAGCAGTGATAATGAGAACAAGTTATGAAGCTTAATGCAGTTGTGATGTACCTGTTGGTAGTCTAAGCCATTCGTTCTGAGTGTTGTTTCGTGCTGGATTTTTTGTTCTGCTACAGAGGTGCATAGATACGTAGGGATTATTCATTGTCTTGCTTGCTATTGTGATCAGATTTCAAGGTTGATACCTGGAGGTGTCATCGATGCTGTTGTTTCTTGGTATTAGGTAGAGAAAACTTTGTAGACCCTGATTAGATTTCGGCAGCATTTGAGGTTCTTTATAGCGCGTGCTGTAAATTGGTGTTGCAATTTCTAGGTGTAGTTAATGCTGAGTTAGTATTGCAAATATTTGTAGTGGAGTTGATCTAATCAACTATCAATCCAAAACAATTGTCTTGAGTTATTTGAAGGTGCGAGAAACACAAGAAATATAGAGTTTGAATTGGCTGACGTCAAATATAATCTTTTCGCAATTCAAACGCAAAACTAACAAGTGAATAAAAATAAATGAACACAATTATTTTTATCCTGATTTACTGTTAACTAAGTTACTCCAGTCCACACCACAAGGTGATTTGTCTTATCCACAAGGATTTAATTCATTATAATCAACCGATTATAGACAACCACAATAAGTCTGATCAACCTTGTTTGACAACCCCAATAAGTCAATCAATCCTTATTGCCAATCCACGATGACCACAACCAAAATCTTCTTGAGAATTCTGACTCATCGAATCTCTTAAGGAACCTATCAACAACTGTTGATTTACAAATATGTGTATATAGAGATGCTTTTAACTAGCAGATTATACAATGTTTAAGTACAACAACACA